TTAGGGGTCACTTTCCTCATCTTCAAAGTGGGGCTCAATGTTGCACCTACCTCATTAGGGTGGTTGTGACAATTACTCAAGATGGATATAGTAAGAGCGCAGGAAATGCAGGCTGTCACCAAAACCAGGCAGGGCTTATCCAAGGAAAGCAAGGGTGGCTTAACATTTCAAAAGCAACAATGGGCCCTGGCTGGTTTGGCTCAGCGGCTGGAGCGTTGACCTGCGGTCCGAAGAGACCCGGGTTCGGTTCCCGCTAAGGGCATGTAACTCAGTTGCAGTTTGTCCCCGGCCCTGGTTGGGTCATGCGGGTGGCGGCCACTCGATGTGTCCCTTTCACATAGATGTTTCTCTCTCTCTTTCTCTCTCTCCCTCCCACTCTATCTGAACAAAAAAACGAAAAAATGTCCTCAGGTGAGGATAAAAAAAATATCCCAAAAGCATCAATGGAGGGTTGAAGAGGGCCTAATACATACATGGATGGAAGATGATTTGACTTTGGATGGTGGGCACACAGTACAATATACAGATCTTGTAACAGAAATCTACACCTGAAGCCTATATGATCATATTAACCAATCTCACCCCAGTAAATTTAATTAAAAAACAACAATAAGTCCGGCCTGTGTGGCTCAGTGGTTGAGCGTCGACCCATACATACACCAAGAGGTCGCTGGTTCGATTCCCAGTCAGGAAATATGCCCAGGTTGTAGGCCAAGTCCCCAGTGGGGGGCATGCAGGAGGCGGCCAGTCGATGTTCTCTCTCATTGATGTTTGTATCTCTCTCTACCTCTAACTTCCTCTCTCTCTATAAATCAATAAAGGAAAAAAAATTTTTTAAATAAAAATATTAAAACAAAACAACAATAAAAGAAAAGCAATGAGATGCAGTTCAATGTATTAGCAGGGGGAGAAAATGAGAAGAACCAAGGGCTGTGCCCGTTAAACTATATTACCTGGGACTGAGGTACCGAACTCAAGGTCCAGGCTTTCCCAGGCCCACAGTCTGGTCCTGAACCTCTCACTGAGTAAAAGGAATGGCGATCTTAAGAGCAGAGCAGCCCAGTTCTAGCCCTGTAAAGTGATTTCTCCTGCTCTGGGAATTGGTCACTGACCAGCCTCACTGGCCTTATCCACACATTCAGCACCCAGAGCCTTGTGTCTCTGGCTCCTTTTTATTCAGGTTCCAGCTTAGATTTATTTCTCATTCCTACCCCTTTCCCCCACAACTCAGCAACACTAAGGGAACTATTTTAAGGATAGTTAAGTATCAATTTCTAAATGATCTTTATTATTCTTTCTCTTTCCAACTAAATTGGCAGCTCCATGAGAGTGGAGACCATAAGTTACTGCTGTTGCCCCAGTGCCTGGTACCTAGTAGGGGCTTACTTGAAATGTGTTAGAAGGCTGGCTCCCTGTTTCAGCTTGCTGGAGGTGTTCAAGTGGTCTGTGAGGCTTTTCCCAACTGCAGGAATCTTGTTTCTGACTCAGGCCATGGAGAGTTATCACCATTAAAACTTTGGGGATTGTGAGAACTTTGGCTTCAGAGGCAAATGTTTTAATATCAAGAAATGGTAAAATTTTAAGTTATGACCTTATATCCCAACCCCCACTCGTCCCATTTAGGAAGAAACTTCAGGGATAAGATAAGTGAATAAGGACTCAGCCTCTGCACTCCAGTTATACGTCAGCTCTATGTCTTCCTCAATTTCACTCTCTGGCCTTGATTCTTATCACTCCCAAACTATGCAGGCTTTCCCTTAAATCATGCTCCTGTTTGTTCCTGAGGATTGGGCCCAACTTCAGGTTTCATTTCAGCCTGTGTTAGTAATGAAAAGTGGACATAGCCAGTGTGGTCCTGCGCTCACCTTTGCATTTCTTAACTCTAGGGTCCAAATAAGCAGGAGGTACATGAAGGAAGGAGGAGTCCAGAGCAGACATGGCCCCTGCCTGTTTCTGCCACCATCTGAGTCACTATTGTGATGTGGTGTGATCTTCAAACAGCTCTGATTTATCTGTCTTTTCTGTCCAAATCTGTTTTGGTTTGTTCATTTGGCTAGGACACTCAACTGTCATTCTTACAGTGAAATAACCCTGATCCTGTTAGAGTGAATAGGACTTGTGGTCCTCTATGGGCTTGAGCTTCTTTTCTAGAGGTCCTGATTGTAACCAAGATCACTCACAACTTCCAAGAACTCATTCTCATGATTTGATACCCACAGACCTGAGACCTTCCTTTCTCCACCCATTGACCTGACTGCGATTCGTGCTGATAAACTCTGTCCCTTTCTCTCCAAGCTCCCAAAACACTGAAAGTACCTTCTATCATCAGCTTGTTGTTCAAAACCTGTTTTTAATCCATTAAGAGTATGTAAATGTATAAGAACAAAAACGGAAAAAAATACACAACACATAACAGATGCAAGAGGCACTTGTGGTCATTCTAATTCACATTATTTCTGCAGTAGATCTACCTCTGGCAGATGGATCTGTTACTGGGAAACTTTTTAAAAACAATTAACACGCCCAGCCAGTGTGGCTCAGTGGATTGAGTGTCCTGCCATGGACTGGGAGGTCCTGGTTCGATTCCTGATCAGGGCAGATGCCTGGGTTGTGGGCTCAGTCCCCAGTAGGGGACGTGCAGGAGGCAATCGATGTTTCTATCTCTCCCTTCCTCTCTCTCTAAAAAATCAATAAAAACATATTTTAAAACAAGTAACAGTCGTCAAAATGTAGTGGGTATTTTCTATGTTTCAGATGCTAGTCTAAGTTTTACAAGTATTAACTCATTTAGTTCTCCCAATAACCCTATGAAGCAGTGTTTTCAGATGAGGAGACTGAGTCACAAAAGGGTTAAGTGACTTGCCCAAATACATAGCTCCTAGTTGGCAGAGCCTGAGGCAGTGGCCAAGTTATACTGCCTTGTGAAAAGTACTGTGCTACCTCTCAGAATAATAGCAAATGTTCACACAAGTTTCATGAACACTTTTTATGCATTAGTTAATTTATGCTTATAACAATTGTGTAATTAAGGTTTTTAATTTTTTTTCTTTATTGATTTCTAGAGAGAGGAAGGGAGAGGGCGAGAGAGATAGAAACATCGATGAGAGAGAACATCAACTGGCCTCCTGCATGGCCCCCACTGGGCATGTGCTCTGACCAGGAATTGAACCTGCAACCTCTTGGTGCATGGGTCGACACTCAACCACTGAGCCACACCAGCTGGGCTGTAATTACGTTGTTCTACCTAATATCTTATAGTCTTATAGGAATGAGGTTTTAAAAATAATTATTGAGCCCTGGCTGGAATGGTTCAGTTGGTTGATTGTCATCCTATATACCAAAAGGTTGCCAGTTCAATCCCCAGTTAGGGCACATACCCAAGTTGTGGGTTCCATCAGGGTGTGGGAAGCAACCAATCTCTCTCCCCCCCCACTTTCTCTCTCTCTCAAATAGATAAAAACATATTTGAAATAATTTTTGAAATTTTAACATAAATATTGTAAGAGTACCAACAAAAGAGTCAATGTCTCACTGGCAGTGAGACAGTAAATCTCCCTGGCATCTCTGACTTTCCTGTGATTTCTTCCCACCATGTTTCTTTTCTCTTTTTTACATTTTATTTCTTCTTTTCCCCCTATGTTTCTTTAGAAGGTGAGTGGTGGGATGAAGGGGCAGGGCTCTGTCCAGAGAGGATCAAGGTGAATGGGAAAGGCATTGATCACAGCACCTTTTATGGCAAAATGAACATGGAAAAAAACCCAATGCTGGTCAAAAATAGGGGACCAGTTCAATGAAAATGTCACCTGTGAACTCCTTGGGCTTCAGATTTCATCATCTGTAAAATGGGGGTAGTAATAGGACCCACAACACCCAGTTATTAGGATTAAGTGGATTAATACTTATAAATCACCTTGAACAGTGTCCAACACATTGTCCGATAAACGTTAGCAGTTACATATTAGTGCAGTGAAATAGTTTATTCTTCAGCAGTCATGAAATAGAAGGATATTTAATATCCTGGAAAGACACCGATAGCTTAGTTATATGGTAAGGGAGGTGTCAAATCAATACAATACAGTTTGGTCTATTTTTGTTAGGACACCAAAAAAGGGCAATATGTTTTTGGATGTGTCTCCTCATTTCAGGTAGCTTTAGAACATTTTTCAGATTATAGTATTTGTGATAAAAATCGTGTAAAAATAACAATTTTGAACATGGACAACAGTGTGGTGAACGGGGAGTGGGTAGAGGTGGAAGAAAGGATAAATGGTGATGGGGAAAAAATGAAATACATTTTTTAAAAGTAACAATTTTGAGAATTGTATTAGTTGATGGTAAGATCCACTAGGAAGCTACTAAACCTTGTATTTCAACTTTGTAAATTGTATATCCTGACCACGTTAAGATAAATAGAGATGCGGCTTCCTGTTAAAGTTGAAATAAGTATGATTCAGATAGACTTCTGGGATTGCTGTGCCCAATTATTTACAGACTCACGCCCAGACCGAGTTTCCTAGGAGCACCAAGCCCAACGCCACCCACGCTCCCCTGCGCGCGCGCACGAACTCACACGCGCCCCCCCCAACCGATCCTTCTCATCCCGGGGGTGTCCGGAGGCCCATCAGTCACTCTAAGAACTGGAGAACTTTGTAGGGGCCTCTGCCAGTGTGATTGTTTTATTCTATGCTTCAAATCTTGCTTGGACAAGATTGTGCTGCCAAAAAGCCGCTTATACAACATTCCTTTAAATTTCTTTTAAAGGAATTTTTCCTTTAAATGACTTTCTGTCATGTTTCTGTTTTTGAAAGTCGTATTTCTGATTTTTAGTGACTGATTCGCACACTCGCCCTTGTACCTGAGGCCATTGAACATTATTCTCGTGTATACAAAAAGTGCCATTAGGGACTTGGGCTGGATAGAATCTAAGGGGCGGAGCCCCCACTCCCGTGCCGGAAGCCACTGTCCCTTAGTGCGCCTGCGTGGTTTCCCCACATTCCGGGGAAGATTCCTATCCATTCGCTCTACACTTGGCAGCTCTTCCTGGCAGCAGGCGGCCATCTTGCCTGGAGCCTGAGAGAGGGAGAAGCGAGACCGAAGAAAGGGGGACACTGGTCTCAGGGCCGCCCCGGGGGCCTCAAGGACCAGAGGCAGCCCCGGAGGTGGTTCCTGGTCCTGGGCCCTGTTCTTGGACCCGAAAAGGGAAGGCGGGTGGGGCGGTGGGAGCAAGATGGGAGGGGAAGGCCAAGAAGGATTGCTAGGCTGGGGGAGGGGCGTTGCTATGGCGACCGGGGGTGGGGCGGAGTGAGGTCTGAATCGCTGTTGTGAGTCTTTCCGGAGCTGCCAGGGCAGGGCTGGGGTGTTGACCATGCTAACAGCCGGGTGTGATTTCACGATATCTCGGCGTGGAGGGACTCAATGTCAATGGCAACGATCGCCTGGCAGAAGGGGCGGAACTAGACCCCTTCACTTGAGACGCTGACATTCCAGGCCCTTGTCCTGCAGGCGCCCACGGGCGGACACAGCGGAAGAGGAGGCCGGGTAATGGCCGCGGTGTGGCAGCAGGTCTTAGCAGTAGACGCGAGGTGAGGTGTGGGGTGGGATCCCGTGGGAGCGGAAGTTAATGTAGTGCATGCGCAATAATGATAAGTGAGGCTTGGCGGAGAACTTGCTTTAGGCGGCTGCGTGGGCTTGCCAGAGGTGAGCATGCGCAGTATCAGAGTGTGGTGGCTTGCTCTGTCAGAAGGGCTGGCCAGAGAGGGTCATCAAGAGCATGCTGGGAAAATGTAGTCAGATGTGGGAAAAGAGTCTCTGCCTTTAGGACTTTTTCAGGGGTGGGAGGGGTGAAGGGAGGTGATGGAGCTCAGGCTGTTAACATCCTATTTCCCACCATTGTCAGTTAGACTTCTCTTACCACCATCATTTCCCTAGTCTGACCCCACCACCATCCCATACTGACCCCGCCGTTGCCCCACACTAACATACCATGCCAGACTGACCCCTACTATTGTCTACATTGACTCAGTCACCCCATACCAAATTCACCAAAGCTGCAGACTGTCTCCATTGTCCGCACAGTGACCTTGTCTCCATGTCCATATTATTACTGTAGACTTGCCCTTGTCACATTGCCAGAGGAACCCCCATCTCCACTGTTGATCACGCCATCCTGACCCCTCCCTACCACACACTTCATTCTCCTTCCCTATCCCCTGCACTGATTGATTCCCTCTGCTTTGTGCCTGCTGCTTGCCTGCCTCCTGCCATCGCAGGTACAACGCGTACCGCACACCAACGTTTCCACAGTTTCGGACACAGTATATCCGACGGCGCAGCCAGCTACTGCGGGAGAATGCCAAGGCTGGGCACCCCCCAGCACTGCGTCGGCAGTACCTGAGGCTGCGTGGGCAGCTATTGGGCCAGCGTTACGGGCCCCTCTCCGAGCCAGGCAGTGCTCGTGCCTATAGCAACAGCATCGTCCGCAGCAGCCGCACTACCCTTGACCGCATGGAGGTGAGCTCCTTCCATGCGGCCTGCCACGCATGCCACCTGTCTCCATGTATATTCATTCAACCTGTCAGGCACCTGCTATGTGCAAGGCACTGTTCCAGGCTTTTAGGATGAGTAGAGGGCAAAAAAGAGATAATATACGAGATAAGTCAATAAATAGACAATAAATAAGATAAATGGATTGATAAGTAGACAATAAACAAGATAAATAGGTCAATAAACATAGCTAACCAGATAAACAAGTCAGTAATTACCATGGCTTACCAGGAGGCAATGCTAAGATGCAAAAATAAAGCAGACTGGGGGATAAAACAGGACTGGTGGGGGTAAAGGGAAACTATTTTTGATGGGGATGATGGAAGGTCTCTCTGAGGAGGTGAAAATTAAGCTGAGACTTGAATGAAGCAAGAGACTGAGTAGTTTTCTGGGAGGTATTCATTCTTTGTTTTTTTAAAATCCTCACCCAAGGGCCTGGCCTGTGTGGCTCCGTGGATTGAGCATCACTCCATGGACTGGGAGGTCTCATTTCCATTCCTGATCAGGGCACAAGCCCGGGTTGTGAGCTTGATCCCCAGTGGGGTGTGTTCTCTGTCACATTGTTGTTTCTGTCTCTCTCTCTACAAAAAAAAATTGAAAATAAGTAAATAAATAAATCTTCATACTTACCTGGCAGGGGAGATACCATGATCATAAAGGTGGTTTTCCCAGGGCAAGGCTTATCCATTGCACTCCGATGTGCTGACGCCTGCGATTTCCCCAAATGTGGGAAACTCGACTGCACAATTTGTGGTAGTGGGGGATTGTGTTCACACTCTCCCCTACTTAAATAAATAAATAAATAAATAAATCCTCACCCAAGGATATTTTTCCATTTATCTTCAGATAGAGTGGGAAGGAGGGAAAGGGAGAGAGAGAGACATCATCTGGTTGCTTCCCGCACAACCCCTACCAGGGTTGGGGACCAAACTGCAACTGAGGTACGTGCTCTCGACCGGAATTGAACCCGAGACTTTTTGGTCTATGGGCAGACGCTCTGACTGCTGAGTCAAACCAGCCAAGGCTGGGAAGTGTTCATTCTTTAATCAGAGAACATTTATTGATTATCTACTGAGCGGGGCTAGGGTGGGAGCAGGATAATTAGTGTGGAGGCCACCACAGTACAGGTGATGGTGGCCGTGAAAAGGGATCTGGTTCTGGGTATATTTTGAAGGCTCCAGACCTCACAGGTTCTTGGAGGCTGTTTTCAAGATGCGCCCACTCTGACCCTCTCTGTTTTCAGGACTTTGAGGATGATCCTCGGGCCCTGGGGGCCCGTGGACACCGCCGTTCCGTCAGCCGAGGCTCCTATCAGCTGCAGGCACAGATGAATCGTGCCGTCTATGAGGACAGGTATGCACCAGGGGCAGCTCAGGGCTGGGGAGTTTGTGAGAAGGAGAGGAGCCATGGGGCAATGGCAGGCTGAATGTTGGAACCTACCTCCTCTCACCTCCTACTCCTGTTGGGGCCCAGACCCCCCGGCAGTGTGGTGCCCACGTCAGCAGCAGAAGCAAGTCGAGCCATGGCTGGGGACACATCACTGAGTGAGAACTACGCCTTTGCGGGCATGTATCATGTTTTTGACCAGCACGTGGATGAGGCAGGTGAGTCAGTAGATGGCAGGTGTCATCACCATGAATTTGCCCAAACTGTGACAACCACTCAGTGTATCCTTTTCTGGAATGCAATTTCTGGCCCATCTCTGAAGGAGGAATTTCCATCCATAAAACGTTTCACAAACCTAAAACCCCTCTGCAAAGAGGTTTGCAAAATCTCAGGTATTTTGTCTACCATAAAGGGGCTCAGCAGCTTAAAAGAGCCCTTTGCAGAAGGCTTCTGGGGTCGTGAGTCGCTTAAACAAGTTCAAAGCTTGCGCTGCAGACAAATCCCCTTGCAAAGGACAGAGTGAGTCTTGCAAACTTCTCAAACCTTGGTAATTGTAAGGTGCTTGCTGAGATGTGGAGGCCTTTTCATATTGCAGAAGTCTTTTGAAATTTATAAAGCACCTGCTAAGATGCAGGGAGCTTTTGGCAGAGGGCTTTGTGGAGTTCCAACATCCTTTCTCAGTCAGGGAAAGCCCTTTGTTGAGGCCACCGTGCCTGGTGTGGTGGGTTCTTGCCCTCAGCTCACATGTCAGAACCTTTTATAAACAAAAGCACTTGGTGAGTGTGCTGGCTCCCACAAGTGGCTCCTTGACATTGCAGTCCCAAGGGTGCGCTTCGCCAATGATGACCGGCACCGCCTGGCCTGCTGCTCACTCGACGGCAGCATCTCACTGTGCCAGCTGGTACCCGCTCCGCCCACCGTGCTCCGCGTGCTACGGGGCCACACCCGTGGTGTCTCCGATTTCGCCTGGTCCCTCTCCAATGACATCCTTGTGTCCACCTCACTCGATGCTACCATGCGCATCTGGGCCTCTGAGGACGGCCGCTGCATCCGAGAGATCCCTGACCCCGATGGCGCTGAATTGCTCTGCTGCACTTTCCAGCCAGTCAACAACAACCTCACTGTGGTCAGGCTCCAGGGCACCCACTCGCCGAGGGCAGGGATGCTGGGCCAGGAGGGCTGTTTTAGGACATCAATAAGGGGGGAGTCCTCTGTAGTCCATCGCCACAGCCCCCTGGTGGTCAGACTCAGAGGGAAAAAAGTCAGAATAGGGACATACAGTTCTTTTTAAATATATTTTTATTGATTTTTAGAGGGGAAGGGAGAAGGAGAAAGAGATAAACATCGAAGTGAGCGAGAACCATCATTCAGCTGCCTTGTGCACGCCCCCTACCGGGTATTGAGCTGGAAACCCCAGCCATGTGCCCTGACCAGGAATCGAACTGGCAATCTCCTGGTCTATGGATTGATACTCAACCACTGAGCCACACCGGCCGGGCGACAGGCAGTTCTTGATTTGGGGTGGCCTCACTGTGGTAGACGCCAGGGGTGACTAGTCAGAGGGTAGGGTCATGGGTCTGCCACCCTTTTGGTCTCATCAGCAGTAGTCCTACCATTTTCCAACTGCGGGGGCTGCTGATTGGGGAGCAGGATTACTAAACAGAAACCTTGTCTCATCTCAGTGGAAGCTCCACTGTGGTCCAACCCCAGGATAGAGAGTCAGAGGGTGGATGGTCGGGGAAGGAAATAAAAAGTCTGGCCTGGCCCTGAGCGGGGAGTATAGGGGGAACTGGTTGAATGAACCTGTGCTCTGGGATTCTTTTAGATGTAGCAGCAGCAGCCCCAGTGTAATCAAGGCTCCAGGAAGGATAAGCCGGGGAGCTATTATCATGGGCCTAGGATGGCCCTGTGCTTTGCTGAGCACAGAGGGCACTGGCCAAGGGGCAACACTATGGGTCTGTGATGTAGTCCCTGCAGCAGCAATCTACTCTGGTTAGATTACAAGAAGGGCTGGCTCAGAAGGATTATGGGCCTGGGTCAGCTCTAGTTTACCCTCCATGCCCCTACTGTGATTAGACTCCAGTGGAGAGAAGTGGGTCTCATTAATAGCAACTGCACGGTGGTCAGAGTCAAGGAGGGACTGGCTAGGAGCAGGATGATGGTGTGCGGGTCTTACCCACAGGTGGGGAACGCCAAGCACAATGTGCATGTCATGAACATCTCCACGGGCAAGAAAGTGAAGGGTGGCTCCAGCAAGCTGACAGGCCGTGTCCTCGCTCTGTCCTTTGATGCCCCTGGCCGGCTGCTCTGGGCAGGGGATGACCGAGGCAGTGTTTTTTCCTTCCTCTTTGACATGGCCACAGGTAAGCAGGCCCCAGGTCTGCATCTGAGTACACCAACTCCTGCCCTCCTGATGCACAGCCCCCAGCCTTACTTTAGCCTCCTCTCCCCTCCATTGTTGCAGGGAAACTGACTAAAGCCAAGCGTTTGGTGGTGCATGAGGGCAGCCCTGTGACTAGCATCTCCGCCCGCTCCTGGGTCAGCCGCGAGGCCCGAGACCCCTCACTACTCATAAATGCTTGCCTCAACAAGTTGCTGCTCTACAGGTGGGTCTCCCTCATCCAGCCACCTGGAGATGTAGGTCCTGCCACCTCCATCAGATTGGGAGGGGAGGCCTATCTTCTTCATCAGGTTAATTTCACTGAGCGAGGAGGTCCAGTCTCCCCATCCTCCTCCTCCTCCTCCTCCTCATAATATAATGATGACCTCAGTGGTAGCAGTAATAGTAATAACAGTAGCTAGCACTTAGGAAGCAGTTGTTGGGGCCAGATCCTATCCACAGCACCTCATACATAATGCCTCATTTAAATTAAAATTAATTTTTTTATTGATTTTTTTTTTAGAGAGGGAGAGAGATATAGAAATATCAATGAGAGAGAACATCGATTGGCTGCCTCCTGCATGCCCCCCACTGGGGACTTGGCCCACAACCTGGGCACGTGCCCTGACCGGGAATTGAACCAGCGACCTCTTGGTGCATGGGTCGACGCTCAACCACTGAGCCACACTAGCTGGGCGCACCTCATTTAATCCTCATAATGACCCTCTGAGGTGGGTGCTGTTATCATGTCCATTTTACAGATGAGCAAACTGAAGTACAAAATGGACTAGGGCCCCTATAACAGTGATCTGTTTTCTTTTTTTTTTTTTGAGGCAGGGAGTTTACTGCCCCCATTCACATATGTCATGTTACCCAAATGTAGTTCTCAGCCTGGGCCACATGCTGGAATGACCTGAAAGGCTTCAAAAGCCATGGCCAGGCCCCACTCCAGGCCAGGGATTTCAGAAGCTCTGGGGCAGGTTGGGCACTGGTATATTCAAACGTTCCCCAAGTGTTGTCCACCCAGGTCTGAAGATGACTGCTTGACAGAATACTTGCCATTTTACTATTTTACTTTTCCTCTTTTAAAAAATTTATACACACAATTTTTAATTGAGGCTTACTTTTAAGTTTTTTGCCTCTTTCCCCGATCCTCTGCCTTCTCTCTTCCCTCTCGTCCTCCTTCCTGCCACCTTGGCTGCCCCCTGCCACAGTCAAGCATGTTAACAACTTCAGTACCGTTCCATACTTTGATCCCCCTCTCATAGTTATCCTCAGAGTGCACACACCCACACATTTCTTTTTAAAAATTTTTTTTCTTTATTGCTTTTAAAGAGAGAGGAAGGGAGAGGGAGAGAAATATCAAAACATTGATGAGAGAGAACATCGATTGGCCGCCTTCTGCATGTCCCCCACAGGGGATCGGGCCCACAACTTGGGCATGTGCCCTGATCAGGAACTGAACTGGTGACCTCTTGGTGCATGGGTCAGCACTCAACCACTGAGCCACACTGGTCAGGCACACAACCATACATTTCTGAGGGAGGGTCATTGTTTTACAGAAGTGAGTTCCTTCTACATCCTTTTCTACATCTCGCTTTTCTCACCAGACGATGCCTGTGGACATACCACAAGCCACCTGCAGTAGCTTCGATTCATTTCTTTGAATGGCCATGTGGTAGCCACAGTACAGGGGTGCCATAGTTTGGTCAGCCATTTCTCTGTGCCCATCTGAACACCAGAGCTGTTGGAAACCCTTAGGAAGAATAACTAGTGAATTACACTGCAGGGGCTCCCTGTTTATATAAACAGATAGAGTGTCCAGACTGTCACTAAACCATGCATCAGCCCATGCTTTACAGGTTTATGCAGTCGTCTCAAAACTGGATTTCATGAACCTTGAAAAGAACTCAGGCGCAGAGGTGGGACACACTAGCACACCATGCGTCTTCCTCTGGAGCTGAGGCTGCACCCTGACCTGCTCTCATTCTCCCCTCAGGGTGGTGGACAACGAGGGGACCCTGCAATTGAAGAGAAGCTTCCCCATTGAGCAGAGCTCACACCCTGTGCGCAGTATCTTCTGCCCCCTCATGTCTTTTCGCCAGGGGGCCTGTGTGGGTGAGTCCCTTAGGGTCGGAGTACCTGGGTGGCCGGGGAAGAGCAGACACCAGGGCTGGTGCTGGTCTGGCTCAGATATCATGACACCTTGATGCCCTGGGCCTTGAGACCTCTCCTACCCCACCAGCTTTCCACTATGAACACAGAGCCCCAACCAGCCCCAAAACCTCACAGCCTGAGACCTAGACCTCCCAAAGAGCTGAGACCTCACTGTCTAGACACAGATTCAAAACAGCTAGTTAACCTCTCATCTAGGGATGGGCCTACCCCCAGACCTCCCCAGGCATGCTGGGACCTCACACCTTGAACATGACTCCCTAACACCTGAGTCATCTCAGAGACTTCACACCTAGGTCACCCCACCTCCTGCAACACCTGCTGATGGTCTCTCCTTCTCACCTGGGCAGTGACGGGCAGCGAGGATATGTGTGTACACTTCTTTGACGTGGAGCGTGCAGCCAAGGCTGCTGTCAACAAGCTGCAGGGCCACAGCGCCCCTGTGCTGGACGTCAGCTTCAACTGCGATGAGAGCCTGCTGGCTTCCAGTGATGCCAGTGGCATGGTCATTGTCTGGAGGCGGGAACAGAAGTAGGAGCCTCCTGACCCTGCCATGTCTACCTTCCCACCTGGACCATGCTCCAGCCTTGTGTGTGTAAATAAAGTTCCTGTGCTTGTGCCGATGGCTGGCTCCCAGGGCTGCTGGGGGTGGGATAGGGGAGAGGGCAGTTCTGGGATCAAAATGGGATGTGGTTCACTTACTCATTCTTTCATGCATATGTTGGTTTATTCTTTCATTCAACAACCATTTACTGAATGTCTGCTGTGTCATAAGCACCACTTTAAGTGTTTTACAGTCATGCATTTGACAGACATTATGAGTATCTGCTCTGTGCCAGGAACTGTTCTAGGCTCTGAGGGGACAGCTGTAACCTAAACTGACAGAAATCAGTGCCCTCATGGCGCTCACTTTTTAGTGCATGGAGGTAGATAACAGAAATATATAATAGGTCAGCTAAAAATGTCATTAGGAAAAATAAAGTGAGGACAGGAAAGAGTTGCAGGAGAGGGAGGTTGGGCTCTTTGGGGTGCCATAACCAGGAAAGATATTCCTGGTGGTGTGAAATTTAAACAAAGACCCGAGTGAAGTGAGAGAGGGAGCCATAGTGCTTGTGGAACATTTCAGGCAGAGAGAAAAGGCAGTGCAAAGACACTGAGGCTGGAGTGCCTGAAGGGTGGTTGCAGAGGCCAGTGAGGAGAGAAAGCTTGGGGTATGTTGAGGTTGGCCAGGCCTGATCCTCGAGGGCTTTGTGGGCCACAGTGAGAACTTGGGCTTTTGTCTGAGTGAAGAGTGAGTCACTGGACGGTTTTGAGCAGAGGATCCCTGCGGGTACTGTGAAGAGAACAGACTGAGGGGCAAGGATGGAAGCAGGAGGGCCAGTCAGAAGACCCTGCAGTAGTTGAATGGAGCGTGATGGGGACCTGCGCCAGGGTGGGGGCACTGGAGGAGTTAAGGTGGCAAATGTTGGCTTCTACCACAGGGTTTCATCCTGAGTCTTCAGGGCTCTGCTGCCTCAGGGAGGCCCAGGCTCCCTCCAGCCCCAGGGCAGCTGCTGCCTGTGCCCCACACCTATCTGTGTATCGGGTTGTTGCCCAGAAGCAGGGAGCTAGTGGCTTCTACTGGGAGTGGAGGGGACAGGGCTTCTCTCCACCCCCATAGGAACCCCAAACCACCCCTTAGTTCCTCTCATGCCCACCCAGGGCCCAAAGTCAAGGCCTGTGACTGCTCAGAGGCCACCAAGTGATGTTCACTATTTGAGGGGAACCCTGAGTGAGGAGAGAAAGCTTGGGGTATAGACCAGGAGATAGATAACCAAAATCCCTTGTCAATGACTTGAGTCACCAGGAAATGTTAAGGTTGATAGAAATGTCAAAGAAGCTCTTGGTCCAGCTGCTCTCTTCCCTCCACCTCCATAGGCTGCCATGTCCAAATGCATCAGTGGGAAGTGTGACTACCACCTTGAGATCTCAGGGGTCAGTGCACAGAGTCACAGAGACTCCAACCTGGCCCCACATTGTTGAGCTGCTGAACCAACACCAACAGTCTTGTTGAGGGAGGAAAATAACCTGTCTGTTCAAGCCACTGTTACTTGACCTTGCAGCTACTTGCAAACGTGTTTCTACCTGCTACAGCAGGTCCTTGATTAATATTTTGTTCAATGTCATTTTGTTATAACGTTGATGAGATGCCATAGGAATTTAACTCTTGTTTATATCAATCAGCCCATGGTAAAATTGGTTTTGTTATATGTCGTTTCACTTAAAGTGCAGAACCTATTGATGACATTAAGTGAGAACTTACTGTACTTTCATCTGAGAGACTTAAGGTAAATGGTGATGAGATGGGGACATCAGAGAGCTGGACTGTTCATGGTCAAGATCATGGCTGTATGTGTGTGGGAGGTCCTCAAGACCACTCAGACTTAATGATTTGCTAGGAGGACTGTCTCAATATAGACACAGTGATGACTTCTTCCAGCAAAAGATATAGAGATCAGTCAGCAAGGGGGAAAGGCCCATGGGGTGAAGTCCAGGGGAGACCAAGCACAAGTTCCCAGCGGAGACGCATAGGACACACTTATTCCCCCAGTCCTGCGTTGTGACAACATAACGCGAAATGGTGGCAACCAGGGCAGCTCCTTAGAGACTCCATGCAGTGTTTCTACTGGTGGCTGGTCACCTAGGCAGTCCCTTTCTGGCACATGTACAACTTCCAGACTCCCAGAGGGGAAGCAGGTGTTCAGCATCAACCACGGTGCTTGTATGAACAGTTGGAGGGTTGTCAGAACTGTTCTGAAGTTTCCAAATGCCAGCCAAGGGCCAACCTTGAAGCAGACCTTTCCAAAGACATCAATTCAGGCCTACTCTGTTAACTCTTCTGCACAGCATGCAACACCAAAAAAAAAAAAAAAAAAGTTCAGTTCCAACAAAAGTCAGTGGATGGGCAAGATCATTTGGGAGAAGCTCATTTTTCTCTAACACTTTCTTTTCTTCACACTCTTCATGTTCTTTATTGAGTCTGGATTCAAGATGGCTGATTATGGATGTTGTTATAGATGAGTTTGGGGTTTCCTCATTGTAAAATTCTGAGGAGGCAGAGTTGATATCCTGCTTTAAAATCATCTTCAGCCCTGGCCGGTGTGTCTCAGTTGGGTGGGCATCATCCCGTGCACCAAAAGTTTGCTGGTTCAATCAATGATGTTTTTCTCTCTCCCTCTCCTCTCTAAAAATCAACTTTAGCCCTGGCCGGTTTGGCTCAGCAGTTTGAGTGTCGACCCGCAGACCAAAGAGTCACGGGTTCGATTCCAGTCAAGGGCACGTATCTCCGTTGCAGTTTTGGTCCCCAGCCCTGGTTGGGCTCATGCAGGAGGCAACCAATCAATGTGTCTCTCTCACATTGCTGTTTCCCTCGTTCTCGCTCTCTCTCGCTCTCGCTCTCTCTCGCGCTCTCTCTCTCTCTCTCACCCTCCCACACCCTCCCACTCTATCTGAAAGTAAATAGAAAAATATCCTCAGGTGAGGATTAAAAAAAAAGTATAAATAAATTTAAAAAATAATTTTCATGATAGCTTTTGTTGATTTACAACCTAAGGGGAAATAAATAATGAGTATATAGTAAAAACTAATCTTATTGGTCAAATTTGGGCCTCTGTTAATTTGTCCATCATTACTGGGCCTCTGGTTTAATATCAGATTTGGAAACTTTTTTTTTTTAATCCTCACCTGAGGACATTTTTTCTATTTTTTGTTCAGATAGAGTAGGAGGGAGTGAGGAAGAGAGACAGAGAGAGAGACAGAGAGAGAGACAGAGAGACAGAGACATCGACCTGAAAGAGACACATCAAATAGCTGCCACCCGCATGACCTACCAGGTCCGGGGACAAACTGCAACCAGGTACGCATCCTTAGTGGGAACCAAACCCAGGTCTCTCTGGACCGCAGGCCGATGCTCTAACAGCTGAGCCAAACCAGCCAGGGCCAGATCTGGAACTTTTAACCATTCTTCCATCAATGCCATTCTAATCTTGCCTCAAATCCAGGCCTCCATTAACTGTTCCATGTTCTTTGTCTGACTTGCAATCTGTGTGTTCAACTACTTCATCAAGAGCCTCTCTGGTCTGAGCTTGAAGCTGAGCCTTAGTTAATTATTACCACATCAGTGTACCACTGGTCAATTCTCAAACCAGGGCCTCTGTATGACCTTCTACCAACTATTGTCTTGTGATCGGATCTCGGATTTTGGGATTCTGTTCATTGTGATCAGTACCCTTTTGCTCCATTCCAACCTCCTGACCTTGAACCTGAGCTTCTGTTAATTATTTTACCATTAATACCCTTATGGTGTCAATTCTACATGGGGGCCCTCAACCCAGTCTGTGTTACTCTAAGTGTGGGACAGTTGAACCGCAATGCAGGCCCCATGAAGCCCTGGCGGCACAGTGGTCAGCTCTGGAACAAGCACAGCCCTGTTGGGAGGAAATGCCCAGCTTGTCATGATGTGGGCTGGCCCAGGCTGGGCGGAACCTCAGGGGAGGTAGCTCTTCAAAGCTGGGGCCCACCCTGTGAAGCTGACAGCTGCCCAGCAAGTGCTTCCTTGAAATGGGCCTGGGTGGTGCCAGGAAAGGTGTGAGGGAAGGGATTGTGAAAAGAAATAGATCTGCCACCTGGTAAGTAAGTGGGGACCCAGGTAAAATCCTGGTTCCTTCATTACTCAACCCATGGTCCTGAGCCAGTCACCTCACCACTCTGTGCCTCAATTTCCTCCAGACTCAGTGGAGAGTTTGGGAGTCATTTTCATTTATTCTTCTGACATATATTGACTGAGTCTCTACAGTGTGTCAGGCAGTGTCAGTATGCAATAGTGAACAAAACAGGCAAAACCTCTGCCCTCGGAAAACCAACGTTCCCATTGATCCCTAAAATCCATCTAGTGATGTAGACTCAGAGCAGAGGTCACCCCTGGCCTTGCTTGATTGTTTGACACACAGTAAGCACCGTGGCCTCAGTGCATATTCAGACAGAAGTCAGGCTGGCATGGAAGCGGAGGAAATAATCAGCTGGAGGGAGGGAGCCACAGCAGGTTCTTGAGCAAGAGTGCAAAGAGATAATTGTGGAGTTTTAGAAGGATTATTTCAGCAGCAATAACCAAAGTGCAAGAAAAAGAAATCTTTACTGCCTATTACCCTACTCCTCACATGGATCAAGTAAGGGAAAATAGACAGCTGAGGCCAGGCCACACTGTCTGTCCAGCTGGGTGTTAAATGTTTGTTTTGTTTGCTTGTTTGTTTCTCATATATTAGCTACAACTGTGCCAGCCCGCCCCCCCCCCCCTTTTTTTTATCCTCACCTGAGGATTTTTCCATTTTTTTCCATTTTTTGTTCAGATAGAGTGGGAGGAAGAGAGAGAGAAACATCGACGTGAAAGGGATACATCGAGTGGCTGCCACCCGCATGACCAACCAGGGCCGGGGACAAACTGCAACCACGGCATGCGTCCTTAGCGGGAAGCAAACCCCAGTCTCTCTGGATCACAGGCCAACACTCTAACCGCTGAGCCAAACTGGCCAGGGCCCAGGCCCCTTTTTAAGTGCTTCTCATGTTTTTTTTTTTCCCAACAACT